TGCCATCTTCAATGCAGTCACCATTGGTCTCCATCTGGTGGGAAGACTTCTGATGATTTTCTTGACATGATCTGACGTTGAGTAGCCCTTGTCCAGAACTTTCAGACCAGCTGTAAGAATCTGAAATCTAGAAAACATAGTTTCTACATTTTCAGAATCTTCCATTTTAAATGCCTCATACTTCTGTATGAGCGCCAGAGCCTTGGTCTCTTTAACCTGAGAATTTCCCTCATGAGTCATTTTGAGTGATTCAAACATGTCATGAGCAGTATCTCTGTTAGTAATCTTCTCATACTCAGTATGAGAGATTGCATTAAGCAATATAGTTCTGGCTTTGTGGTGATTCTTGAAGTCTCTTTTCTGCACTTGAGTCATTGATTTTCTATCAATCTTTTTGCCATCCTCACCAGTAGGATGTTCATATCCATCAATGACCAAATCCCAAAGATCAACATCATACCCAAAAAAAAAAATTTCTATTCTATCTTTCCAATAGTCAAATTTTTCTCCATCAAACATTGGAGGTTTGGTACTGATCCTATCCCTCTCTTCATATTTATTGTTGATATTTGACATTGAATTATCAGCCATGATAACAAATAAATATATTGATCAAAGTATATCTCTCTCTGGATCTTTACTGACACTGTTAAGTGATAGCACACTCAGAACCGGAGCTCTGATGCCAACTGAAGGTGAGATAATACTTAGAAGGGGGGGGGGGGGTTGAATAAGTATGGAAAATTAATACTTGAAAATAATCACACAATTATTTTTATCCTGGTTCGTTAAACAACTACTCCAGTCCACCCTTCCAGAGTGATTTGCCTTTCTCAACAAGGACTTAATCCACTATTAAATCAAACTGATTACAATAGTATCACCTAAGAACTACAGTTCTTAGTCTTCTCAGGAGCTACTGATTCACACCGAATCCTCTTAAGGAATATCCTTTACAATCAATGTAAATTAAATACAAGAGTTTTTAATGCTTCTATAAAGCTATAATCACAACAGTGATTTTTCTCTTAAGTTTAAGTACAATGAAATTCTATGAAGAATAAGAATGAGAGCTTATAGAATATTGTGATTTCTTTTCAGCAAGTGTGTAACTGAAGAATGAAGTGAGGATCTCCTTTTATAGGCAGCTGAATCATGCAATCTGAACGTTGAAAAGAGAGTCTCAAAAGGTCTGAGCCTTTTTGTCTTCACATGCACTGACCTTTCCTTGAAATAGATGGCACAGAAAAATCCTTTTTGTCTGTGTAAGTGTGTCTAGCACAAATAAGGAAAGAGACGTTGAATAGTTCCAACGGATATATTCTTGAAAACACTTCTTCAGTTTCAGCAAGTTCTTCAGAGTCTGAATGGATCAGAGTCTTCTAATGAGATTCAGAACTATGCTGTATCAGAGTCTTCTGCAGCGTGTGTGCTTCTAGCGTGTTGATCATCAGAGCATTTTGACACAGAACTTCAGTACTTGGCAGCGTAGGTACTTTTAGAAACTTCTGTAGACTAATGCTTTGAAAAACTCTTCAATCAATATTCTTCTATGCTTCTGATGCTTCAGCTTCAGATGCTTCTGATTATCTTCAGATGCTTCTGACTATCTTCAGATGCTTCTGACTCAGAATGTTCTGGAGCTTCTTGCTTCAGATCCTTCTGGAGACTACGCTCAGGATCTTCTGTAAGGAGCAAACAGATTCTTCTGTAAGGTGCATCTGGCGCTTCAGAGTCAGAATAGCTTCTTGTATTCAAGGCAGATTTGCTTCTAGAGAGTTAATATAATTTTAATCTGCAGTAAAACTCTCAAACAAATTTTAGAGTATATAATTCTTAAATATAAATTTCCTAACAGTTATCATCAAAACAAAGAGTAATTATTAAGAACCAATCTTTGTTCTAACATGTTTTACATATATTGATCAACTTCCACCTATGATTCACAATGCATGTGTGGTTCAGCTGACTAATTTTTTGAGCCAATAACCTTGAGGGCATGGGTTCAAACCCCATTGAGTGCATCCCCTTATTTTTAATGCTTTTTTTTATGTTTTACTTCACAAATTGAATTGATCATAACTTCTTTTATTTTTATCATTTTGATCCCACTCTTTTTACTAAATTCCCATGATAATGTCTAATTTTTGTCTATGTCAAGAAAATTACAAAAATAATTATTTATTTGGTACTTGTGCATGTTCAAAATTTTTGACTTTTTTTAGGGTTTCTTAGGTTTTCTTTAGATCCTTTTAATTGATTCCTTTGATTCCTCTTACTTGTATGCACCCAACATTTCTTGTATAAACCTCACTTAATGTGTGAATTTGGATACCCTTGTTGTTACATGATGGTTATTGTTTTTTTCAAGTTCATGTTCATATATGAATGCATGTTTGAATATCATTGAAAACTTGGTTGTTACCTTGCCCTTGACATGTGATTCTCTTCTATGATCAATTGAGTTGAATGTGCACATGCTTCATGTCTATCATACCTTGCCTTGAGTGTTTTTATACACTTGTTGTTTTCTTTGAAATATGTTTAGTATGCATGATTCACCTTTGAGATGTTTTCTCATCTTCCATGATTCAATTCCTTTTACATGTTGGTTGTTACCTTCTTATTTAACACGATTCGCCATAATTCACATGTTGTTGTCACACATGTCACACCATTGTTCAAAGTTGTTTTGGTTGTTACCTCTACTTGTATCCATGTTTAAATATTGTTATGATTTATGCATGTTGATCTTTGAACTTTGTTATGCCTTAAGTAATGTTTTAACTTATGCATGATTCTCTTGACTTGTATCCATGCTTAAATATTGTTACGATTTATGCATGTTGATCTTGAACTTTGAACTTTGCCATGATAAGTAATGTTTTGACTTATGCATGATTCACTTGTCCTTTATGATGTTTGGTCTTGTAAGGACCTTATTTTATAGCCATTTAGATGTTGTAACATCTATGTTTACCTTTGGTTGTAACCATTTGGTTTGATTCTAAAATTCCTGTGGATGAATACTTGGTTGTAACCTTGTTATTTGTTTTGTTTAATGTTATCACGTGCTTGCATTTACTTTCTTGGTTGTTACCATGATATTATATCTTTATCATATTTGAATGGATGTATATGTATGCTTAAGCTTTGATAATTTCTCCCCAAGTGATGTAGCTTGTTAGCTCTCATCCAAAAGAGTTGCCTTGTGCCCTAAGTCCAAAGGAAAGTCTCTTTATTGACTCAATGTCATAGATAGCTCATTTTTATTCCAACCTCCCTTTGACCTTGTTAGAGTCATTAGAACTTCCAACTTAGCCTTAAGTTAGAAACTACTACATTTGACTTTGTTAAGTCAAGACCATTAGCATACCTTGTTAGGGATCCTATAACTTAGAGCTTAGGTCTAGAGTTTGTTAACTCTATGTGTGTATCATTGTTATGGATACTCACTTTTTCCCTTCTGACTTTTGTTAAAGTCAACCCCCTGTTAGTCTTATAACTTAGACTTAGAGAGTTTGTTAACTCTACATAAGTATCATTATTATGGATGTTTATTCCCCTTGAACCTTGACCATAGTCAAGAGTTCTCTCCCTAGTTAGGAAAACTACGGTTGCTCTGATTTCATCCTTGTTAGGATACATAGGCACGAGATGCGACGTCTTGGCGAGCATACTTAGTGCATATACCCATAGGTCTTTACCTTAGCACTTAACTCTTAGCAGACAAACATTGACAATAACACAAATACTAACAAGAGGTTCCTGTAGAGTACTACAGATACTTAGGGTGCTAATACCTTTCCTTGGTATAACCAACCCCCGATCTCTTAGCTTCGTTGTTACGTAGCGCACTTAGGGTTTTCTTCGATCTTTACCATTTCCTTTGGATAAATCAAAACTCGGTGGTGAATATTTAAAGATTTGTGGTTTAAGTTAATTAATAGTTTTATATCTAATTCTCGCCGCAACACAACTACTCTGACATGGGTCGCGAACTTAGTCACAACAACATGTCACTCCATACACACAACTTCTTAGAAATGCAAAAACTTCTTAACGATTTTGGTGAGGTTTTCGAGACCTCAAATCCTCAAACACCTGGGGTGAATCAACAACGAGTGCAACGAATTAGGGTAGATAGGGGGTGTGGAATCGATGGTTGGTATGACCAACCTTATCACTATCGTTAGTGTCTGTAAAAGTATTTTAAATTAAATAGTAATATTTATTATTTATGTTTTAAAAAAACACAATACACATTGATGTTAGATGAATTGGCACAACCTTTAAAAAAATACACACTGACGTCAATTGGGATGACAACACCATATGCAGTTGTCAATTCAATTAACACCATCATTAAAAAAGTAGGTTAAGCTGCCAATTCGCCGGGTGCCACCTTTTCATTGCAAAAGAATTTGTTTGAAAATGGAATAGATTGAGATTTTTTTTAAATCCTGCATTATTTTAAAAACAAATTTGAAAATGTGAATTATTTGGTAAAAAAATCCCAACAAAACTATAGGTTAAAACCTTTTCTTTAAAAGAGAACACCATGTTGAAATTTCCTATTTCATATCTTAATAATGGACCAATGAAAAAAGTTTTTTGACGTTTTCTATTACAACACGGATCAGAATCCTTTGTCTAAGTCAAAAGCAAAATCCACAATAATTTTCTTTTTCTTTGACACAAGAATTTCCAAAGCGTAAACTTTACACAATTTGCATGATTCCCCACTAAACACGCCATCTAAAAAGACAAGAAATAATACATCAAATTTCTCCATATAAAACACTAACACTACCCATAATTTAATACCACAAAAATCTAAATCAAATTTCAAACTTAAACTAGCCACCATAGACCAAACCTCTTAAAGTCTTTATTAGACCCCACTAATAATCCTTTTAATACAAGAAAAAAAGTTTAACCCATCAAATTATACAAACACAAAAACCTTTCAAGTTTCAATCTCTTCCTAGCTAGTTCCTATGGAAGATTTTCAGAGATCAAAATCTATTGCAAATGGCCCTCAAATGATGCAGCTAGAAAACTACTATGGACCACCAAAACCTTATGATCTAAGAAGCTATAGTTCTTCCTATGTACAAAGTTCTAAGGATTTGAAGTTGAAGAAAGGTAAAAGCTTTTCATCTGGTTCATCTTTTTCTAAGTCTTTGAGTTTCGTTAATGATCCTGAACTTCAGAGAAAGAAGAGAGTTGCTAGCTATAAAATGTATTCTGTTGAAGGTAAAGTCAAAGGCTCTTTTAGAAAGAGTTTTAGATGGCTTAAGAATAAGTACTCAGAAGTTGTTTATGGTTGGTAGAGATTTAATTGTTTTGGAAACTTTGTTTGAAGTTTGTGATTTTGATTTCTATTAAGAAATATGAGTTTGATTTGTGTAGAAGAATTGTAGATAAATTATTTATGAGTTAAGATCGATTTCTTGAGTTTGGTAAGGTTTTTGTTTATACATGTCTTATAGTTACTTAATTATTCCATCCAAAAAAAAAGATTACTTAATTATTGGAATTTAATTTTAGTTTTGGTTTTTGAACTTTTATTGTGTCTTCTCACGTGTAATCTTTGTATTTGCTTTTAGATTTAAATAGTTTATTTTGTTTTTAATTTTCTTTTAAATAATTTTTAAATGTTAAAAATTTGGAGAAAAATTCGAAAGAAAATCTATAAGAAATCCGTATCCCACCTTAAACCTTTTAATAAATGTATCCTATTACTTATATAAATCTATAAGAAATTCGAAAGAAAATCTATAAGAAAAAACTTGGTAAAAGGAAGAATTTAACCTTTTACCCCACTTAAACCTGACATCTCCACATAATGGATCCTATTACTTTTATGTCCTAACTAAATTTTTTTTTTGGATTTTCTACTGTGTTTAATGGAATTTTAAAAGAACTATTGAAATTTCTCAAAATTTTTTATTATAAATCAATGATTTCCGGAAGAAAAAAAACTAAAGAAATACAGGAATTTTTGAAAAAAGAATTTCAAAATTTTCAAAAAAAAATTATACTATCAAAAGTTTTGAAATTTTCGATTTCAAATTTTGATAAACTACAACACTTTTCGAAATTTTTGATTGCGTAAAAAAATTTTTCAAAAAAATTGAAAATATTAACTACCAAAAAAAATTTGGTCTATTACCAGAAATTTCGTTCGCACTTTTTACTCGAGTTTTTTTATAGACATTTTATGAATTATGAAAATATGTGAGGGTGCCAGATTTAATTTGGGGGGTGGCAGGTATTATGAGAATATGTGAAGGTGCTAGATTTAATTTGGGGGTGACAAATTAAATCCTTCTTTTTAGGTGGTTAGTTATTTTTGTTGGAAATAAGTCCATTAGGGCCCAAGTTGTATTATAATTTTGATTCATGTGGCGGTCCTTTTCTTTCTTGTTTGTCTCATAATAGACAAAATATACATAAAATCTGAAAGTTTTATCATAGAATCTGAAGAATGTGATATTTCTGATCACTCTCTTATCTTTCTCGCTGCATGTCTCCGTTTAACTAGTCTCCAAGATTTCATGTTTATCTTCATTCACTTTGGTAAACGTATTACCCTTCTTTTCTTTTACATATTCTCAACTTGTTTCTCTCTCTCTCTCTTCCTTTATTTCATCGAAAACGCTCTAAAACCATATTCCCATTATCTCACAATTGTGTATCAAGATCTTTATCCCAAAAATCCAGAAATTCAAGATCATATTGAGATCCTTATCACAAAAATCTAGAAATTCAACCTTTTTGCACCAAACATTCTTTACATATTCATCCAAAACTCATCTCAACCCAGAAAACCATCAAACCTTCAAACTCTCAACCCATAAATTTTTTAAATCTTCATCTCACATTCACCCCAACCCAGAAAATCATCAAAATTTCATCTCAAATCTTTGTCCTCTTAAGGCCATGTTATCTCGAGCACGCATGTATATTTGCTTAGTATTTGAAATATTTAAAGGTCTTTTCAGTTTTAAAGATCTGAGTATATTTTTCGACACCACCATATTAATGTCATGTCTGAAACAAGTTCTCTCTCCTCAGACACAAAATGACATACAATAAAATAATTGATTAACTTGTCATGCAATATAAATATATATATATATATATATATATATATATATATATATATATATATCACTATTTTATGTTTTATATGTTTTTTCTCTCTCTTTTTTTAATTTCATCATATGTGATCTTCATTTTTTTTATACATGTTGCTTGAAAATATTTGTTCAATATACTTACTTTTCTTATGTATATTATACATAAATGGTAAACTAAATTTTATCCGAAAAATAAAATATTTGAGTTATAGTATAAAATTTAATATCTATATCGCTATATGAATATCTAATAAATAAATAAACAAAAATTCTCATAAAATAAATATAACAAAATTTATAGAATTTTTCCATGTTAGAAATATTGTCATCATCCTATAAAACTCACTCATATATGACATCATTGTAAAATTTTCAATTGAATAAATTAAAGGTACTATTTTTTTTTGTTTATTTTGTATTTTAACAACTCACTCATATATGACATCATTGTAAAATTTTCAATTGAATAAATTAAAGGTACTATTTTTTTTTTGTTTATTTTGTATTTTAACATCCAAATAAATAAGTACAAAGTATAACTTCATCATAAAAAATAAAATAAAAAATTAATAACTGTATTTTCCTTTAAAAATATTATTCAATTCAATAAGTATGACTGATTTGCTGCCCTGTTAAGAACCCACGGCCCAGTATAAATTTTAGAAAGAAAAAAAACAAAACAAAAAAGCTAGCATGTAAACGACGTCGTGTTTAGAGATGAAAAGCGAAAATTAAAAAACAACGCCGTTGCCGGGGATCGAACCCGGGTCACCCGCGTGACAGGCGGGAATACTCACCACTATACTACAACGACTCAGTTGTTGGTATTTCTTATCATTTATTATTAATATAGTTTAACTCAAACACCCAAATTCAGATTCTCAACTCAACTAACCTGTACTAATATATTATCCAAATTCAACAATTACTCTAAATAGTAATATAAACGAACACAAAAACTCCTTATAATAACGATAAACTTAAGTATTATAATCAATTGTTTCTTTTAGCAAAATAAAATCAACCCTACTATAACCCTACTATAAATAAATCTTGTTAGTCATGTAAAAATTAATTAAATAATAGGAATATAACAAATTAACCTTTATTTTAGAATTGAAACAATGTTGAATGTTGGAATATCGAAAGAAACTTAACATTTATTTTAACTATATATATATATATATGAAATAATGCAAATAGATAATAATAATGAATTGATTGTGTAATAGTTTTTATATTAATTGAGCATAATAATTAATCTCTCACAATTTTATAAAATATCAATAAAATTATGAAATATAATCAATTGTATTTTAAGAAAATAACATCTAAAAAATCTCTCACAATTTTATAAAATATCAATAAAATTATGAAATATAATCAATTGTATTTTAAGAAAATAACATCTAAAAAATCTTATTAGTCACAGAAAAAATTAATTAAACAATGCAAAGATTACATGAATATTAATAAGGAAGCAGATGGAAAAATCTAATTTGAATTAAAATTTAAAGTATAAAACAAAGAAAGTGGAAGAAATTAATAAAATATTTATTTTATTATTGGAATATACCAATAAAGATAAAAAAAAGGAAAATTAAATTAAAAGTAATCAAGAATCTTATATAATGTACAGCAAGAAATTGATGAAAATAAAAAAAAATTAAAAAAAAATATTTTATATTATGAGAATAATAATAAAGATATAATAAAATTAGACTTTGAACAATTATTAAAAAACTCAAAAAAAAAAAAAAAAAAACTCTTTTAAACACGCTTATTAATATTTACAATTTTATCATCTAAAACATGGTGAATCTAACGTAAAATTAGGGAATTAACATGTATTTTCATTTAATAAAGAATAATTTTTTTTTTCAATAAGCAATTACATTGAAAGAAAGTACAAAAAGTGCTCAAAGCAAGTTACAAAATCATTGTAAATTGATATAGTTTTCAAATTTTCTCCACCAATTATAAAAAAAAAACATCAATTTACTCTTCGATCCTAAAACAATCCAATTCCAAAATAATAATTTGATTGATGTGAAAACATGTTTCTTCTCTATTCAATCTCGCATTGTTGAAAATAATGTTATTTCTCAGAAACCACAAACACAAACACGTCGCCAACCAAATCAATCCTTTTGTTCCTCACCGCTTTACTCCTCATTAGAGAATAAAATTTCTTTGTGTGATTAATTATAGAATCTCAAACAATATACTTCATCTTCAACCAAAGGCAAACGATCTTATGTTCCAACTCCACCGACAAATGACAATTCTTTCCATAGACGTTTTTGAAAGGTGTGAGACCAATCGGAGCCTTGAAAGCTGTCTGATAGGCCCACAAAGCATCATCGAGCTCGTTTGACCAGTCTTTTCTAGAAGTCGACGTCGTTTTCTTCATAATCCTTTTAATTTCTCGATTTGATACCTCCGCTTGACCATTAGCATGTGGATGGTATGGTGTTGCAACTTTGTGCTTTACACCATATTGCTCTAAGGCTTTTTTTAGGTGAGTGTTGCAAAAGTGGGATCCTCCGTCACTTATCAACACTCTTGGAGTACCAAATCGAGACAAAATATTTTTCTTTAAAAATTTTATCACGGTTTTTCCATCCGCTTCAGCACATGCTATTGCTTCTACCCACTTGAATACATAGTCAACTACGACCAAAATGTACTCATTGGAAAACGATGATGGAAATGGACCGACAAATTCTATTCCCCAATAATCAAACACCTCAACTTCCAACATGTTTTGTAACAACATTTCATTCCGTTTTGAAATTTCACCACTCCTTTGACACTTGTCACAACTTTGTGTATACACATGCGCATCTTTGAACAAACAAGGCCAATAAAAGTCCGGTTGGAGGACTTTCATTGTCGTTCACAAACCGTTAAAATGCCCTCCATACAGAGAGTTAATACAATGCCAAAGTATGTAATTGTCCTCTTCTTTTGACACACACCTTCTCAAAATGTTATCGACACCTAGCTTAAACAAATATGGTTCATCCCAAATAAAGTACTTGGCGTCAGATAAAAAATTATTTTTCTAGTTACAAGTTAGACCTTCCGGTATTAATCCGGCGGCCTTGTGATTTTCCATGTTGGAAAACCAAGGTCTAACTTGAACCATATACAACTTTTCATCAGGAAATTCTTCCTTTACTTCT